ATCTTATTTCACGCAAAATATTGATGATAGTGACTTACTTCTCATTGTCCTAAAAGTTGTATGAATTTAGTCCTTTTCTCATCTATTCCACCTCAGGATAACCTCACCTTCACTCTTTAGTCCAGATTTTGAGAGGCAGACCTTAATGTTCTTTAGTTGCCTTATTGGAGCTCTGCTTGTGCAACCTTACAAAAAATGTCCCCTAATAATTATTTACCCTTCCTCGTGCAAATAACTCAGGCTACAACTTCTGTACTGTAGGCAATGTTTAAGTGTTATTGTCAGTGGAGGATTGTGATTTGCATCTATTTGGAACCAGCTTATAGTATTTTTAAGTTTTTCAATTGGATAATAATTTCCGAGGGAAAGTGCATGGTAGATGTCTGGAATGAATGACCTGAAAAAGTGTTGGAAGCAGATTTGTGAGAGGGAGGAAAAACAAAAATATTTGCAAAACTACTGGGAAAGAGAATGGGAGTGAGAATAATTGGATAGCTCTTTCAAAGAGCCAGTACAAACACAATGGGATGAGTGACGTCTTCTGCATTAATATACGATGGTTATGGTATTAAAATAGTGTTATTGCTTATGGTATTGTGTGTCCAAGTAGTTTTCTTCAGACTGACACAAGAGTGTGTACCTAATAGGTAATCATAGCTGCCTGCAATGTGCCTAGAGAGTTTATGATATGGTCATTTGAACAGTCTCCAGAAGTTAAGTACTTGTTACATGACATCAAATTGGTAAACAGGAGACCTCAGCTTTGATCAAGTGGAGGGAGATATCCGGGAAAAAAAAATCATTTGAGTTTTACATTGGTTTTCACAGATAACTGGAATTAGTCTCAATACCTGTCTCTTCAACATTAATAGGCTTGTGATATTATTTTCTTTTGGTGCTTTAAGCCAGAAGGTCATGCGTTCATGTCCTATTCCTGAGATGTGAGAGGTAATTTAGGCCGGCACTCCTAGTTCCGTGCTGATGCTGAATTGAGGTATCACCTTTTGGTTTCAAGGTGGTAAACCATAGCCCAGTTTAACCTTGTAGCTGGACAAATTGCAAAGTGACTAATCTGAAGACAAGCGGGGGAGTTATCCCTGGTGTGCTCACCAGTATTCATCCTTCAGTTGACATCACGGAAACTGATGATCTTGTCATTATGACATTACTGCCTATGGGAATTTACTTTGAAAATAATGGCTGCCTTTCCAACACAAAATGAGTGAGTACACATTAAAAAGTACTTAAATGACTATTAGTTAGCACTTTGGGATATCCTGATCTTGCAAAAGAGGCAATAAAATTGCATGTCTTTTATACAGTCATCAAAGATTAATGATAAATTTTGAGAGATGCAATTTGAACAAGACAGAATTCTAATCTGGAAGAAGTTGGGATTAAATTAATTGAGGTAATTTCATCCTCAGCAGGGTGTTCTTAACATATTTCAGTGTAAGTTGTTCAGTGTGCAATATGGTGAGGAGTCGGTGAAAATTGCTCAGGCAGTAATGTTTTTGAGGATTGAATTAACAGTTCCATACCCGCACTAACAGTTGGTGGGTGTGTGTGTTGAAGTCAAAGCTCCTTCAGGGATTTTCCTCACTGCACTGTAGAGATTTGGGAGCATTGATTAGACTAGTAACCCAGTACAGTTAAACTAGAAGTCCAGTGACATGATTTGAACTCCCATTATGGCTGCAGAGGAATGTGAATCGGATTAATTGAATAATTCTGGAGTACCAAGCTAATATTAGTAATGGTAACCACAAATGGCTGGGTTACTGCAAGAAACATATTTGGTTCGTTAATGTCCTTCTGAGAAAGAAACCTACTATTCTCACTGGCTCTGTGCACCTCCGGACCCAGAGCAATGTGATTGATTGTTAACTGCACTCTGAAATGGCCAACCAAGCCATCTTGACTTGCACAAATAGAGATGGGCAATAAGGACGAGCCTTGCCAATGATGATAATAAAAGTAAAAACTATTTTAAAATTATGCACAACTCCATCCGACATTTTATGTCAAAAGCCCAATTTTGTGAACATTTGAATGTTAGTAGTGCTCAAAAGAATAATTATTTGAGCTGGGTTGGGGGAGTGTGAAATAAGCTGCTGTCACTCAACAGGATGGGATGCTTGTGAAAGCTGCAGTGGGTGCTAGGTGGTATTAAGGCTGAGTGTATGTAAAAGAGCTCCTTGGGATTGGCACTAAAGGAAAAGAGCATAGAGAACAATAACTGTACATTGCGTTGAACTTTCTAGAAACAGCAGGAGTTAACTATGTTATGCTCTGGAATATAATACTTTCTTAAAAAAAGAAAAGAAATGAAAAGTAGAAATATCATATATAAACTGCAATAGAACAAGGTACAAAATGGTCACTTCAAAGACACCCTTTAGATAAAACAACCATGTTAGTTGCTATGCAAATATGTTCCAGAAAAAAATGCTCATACAGTAGAATCAGAATTGTGTTTAAAAGTAGGAAATTCACAACCTTTAGAGAGGTGAAGATGGGGAAAAGTCCATCCTCATTAACAAGATATTAGTTGACAACCATTTTATAATATATAATTGTACATTCAAATACAGTTATTAAAATTGAAACTTGGCAAAACCCTTTATCATGTAGAGGAGAAAAGAAAATAGGCACAGTCACTAAAAGGCATCATAGAAAATCAATGGCTGCTTCTCATTGTTAGTTTTTCGTCAATTGTGCTCAGTGAAAGCTTCTGCAATCCAGACACTGTGAACTGGGAGGGGCTCGCAGGGGAAACCAATCATATTGTACAAGATGCCATATATCAGCAAACTTATGAACCATTCCACCTCCGCAGGCAGCTGATCCGATCTCAGTCACATTAGCCTTGCCATCCATTCTCACTGATCCGGGGCCCTGGGATCACACTGCAAAGCACTGCATACCAGTTGGCACAATTGAGGTCGGTGGAAAAAGGCACTATGATTCTAAAAAAATGACTTTTTTCACTTCTTATCATTACAAAACCCTTACAAAACCAAGAGCAAGACTGATTCACAAATTGTTAAATGGAATCCAGAAAAGGGGAAAACAAAAGGTTCAGACTATCCTTTCAGAAAACACAAAAAAAAACTTTCGGATCTAGCAGCTTGCATAGAATGGTTGGATAGCTGATATCTCGAGAGCCCAGTGGAAAAGGACCTTGAGACAGCAATGGTTGAGGGCAGATTGGAGGTGAAGGGTAGATTTTGACTTTGTGCCAGAGCCTGAAGGGGACTGTTTTACATCTCTCCCCTTTTTATTGCAATGACTTCAATTGAAGCAGTCGATTTGCTATTGCCGGTTTTACACGTTGCTACCCCATCACTTTACGCTGCATTGCCATTAAAAACCTCGAAGTCATAGATAAGTGTTTGTAATTTATTGACTAGCTTAACCATGACAGACACGGCGAACTTTATAAAGATTACTCTGTGCATAAACCCTCGTCCTGATAGCTGGCTTCCTCTGTGGTTATGTTGTCTGCTTTTTGAATATTCTTTCAAATTTTACTACCAGGCCACCAGGTTTGAAAGCGTTCCACCTCAAAACTCTGTCCTATCAGCTGCTCTGACACTGTTCAAGTCCCATTTGCACATTGAAGGAGAATCTCCAGCCTGTTTTTCAACCCTCCTCTTACCCACCCTCTTTTTATGGTCTCTGCACACCCTGGAATTATATATGACTCTACAGAAAAGTGTGTCAGAAATGTCGTTAAACAGTGCAACTTGTAAAATGTTTTCACTAACACCTTTTTGATACAGCATATTGTGGCAGCTATTCATCTAGTGGCTCTTAAGAATTAAACCTCAGTTAAATATAGGACAGCTAGTGGCGGTTTACTGAGGTTGCTGATGAATATATTAATTGTATTGTAATTATCCATAGGGACTTTATAACAAGATGTTCACTTTCCTAGGATTTGACCTGCAGGCTTTCTTTGATAATGGATAAGATTTGCAGCATATGTCACTTCTAGATCTGTTGCTAAAAGAGATTTTGGAATGAATTCTTCACGCCTGTTAAATGTAGCTGGTGTGATTAATGCTCAGTGAGGCTCCATTATTTGTGTCACACTTATTTTATGTACATTAGGCAGTTTTTTCAACATGATCATGGCCATAATGATCCAGCACACAAATCTGGATTAGTTTTACGGATTGATGAGAAATGAAGGTTGTCAGTACACTGCTGTGCAACAGTTGATGCATAATGCGTTACCTACTCACACTTTGAAAATGGTGTCTTTGTGTAATAGTGTAAGTTGCATAATAGAGAATCAACAGCCTGAATTCCATCTCTCCTAATGAATGTTTTTATTCCCTTTGGCTGTTGACTCACCATCACCTGTTTACAGCCAGACAAAAACATGTGAATTAACTGGAGGGTCTGAGCCCTGTCACACCAGACAACTTCCCAGTAGTATCACTAGAATGCAATTGGGTAAATTCATTCTTGTTCTTTGCCAACTGAAGCACATCGAACAGCTGCAATTATGTTGGAGAAACAGACAGCTTGTAACTAAGATTTGTAACCCTCTGATCTGCTATGCTTAATGTTGGGTTCAGCTATACACTCATCCGCCGAGATATGGATACTAATGACTTAAGGAAAGTATTTTTCCTTCCCATTCGATCCTTACCCCACCCCATTCTTTCATTAAATTGGAAACAATCTCTATTGTATTCCCATGAGTTCATCAATGGCAGAGACGGGTAGGGACAGAAGGACTCAGAACGAATATATCTACTTTTAAAATTTTCTCAGGAAAATATAACATTGAAAGGAAATTGTGAAGCCTTTTGCATCTAACTGTTTTACATCATTTCAACAGGAAGGAATTGAAATGAACCAGGCCTTCTGGAGAAGAAAATTTCAAATTATGCAGGAAATGTGAATAGGGTGGTATGATTGAGGGTGAGCGTAGAAAGAATGAAACTCCAGATCCTGCTGATTGCAACATTAATTATTACCCATGTGTCTTATCATGATGCAGGAACACAGCTGACGGGCTATTGCACTTCTGTCCTTGTCATTGGCAACTCTCAAATTCTCATACTTTGCATCGCTGAAGTCATGTTCCGTTATCAAAGAAATAAGGGCTATAAATATAGGACGGTCACAAATAAGTCCGATAAAGTCATTAAGTGGAGCAATGTTACCTGGAGTGTTTAGAATGTACGTTTGCTACCACATGGAATAGTTGAGGCAAAAAGGGAGACTTAAATGCAGAGAGAGAAAGGAATAGAAGATCTGGTAGGTAAGATTAGATGAAGTGAGAGGAGACTTGGGTGGGGCATAAACACCAGAATGGACCAGTTGGGCTGAATGGCCTATTTCTGTGTAGTAAAACTCTTTCTAAGTCTCAAAATAGTAATGCTGGCCTGGGTGGTGGTTATGCTATGGTTAGTCGAACATTAAACAAAGAATTTATAGTGAAGTAAGGGAGGAGAGAGGAGACAGCTCCTCCCAGTTCACATACTGGCAGTGTGATCAGTAAAACGAGGTTAAAGTCGATAAGAGATAGTGTGACTGTAAAGGCTAGAGAGGTGGTCACATGACAGTACAGCACTTACAATGCTTTTTCTTGTCTGTACCTGTGGCTGGCTCTGTTCCAGTGTCTGTCCCTTCATTCTCCTCCGCTGAGAGTGTCTCTGAAGCCTCGGTCATGGACTTGCCAGCCACCAGTTCGGCTGCATTGCCATCTATTGTAGAGACGTCTGTCACCGTCTTCTCTCGCAGTGACTTCTCATCATCTTCGTCGATCAGCACCAGCTCTGCTTGGATGGCGCCCTCGTAGCCCAGCAGTTTGTTTGTTTCCTCCTCATCCTCCACATTCTGATAGCCCATGAAGATCATCGTCACTGGATGCTCAGCACTGGCCTTAGGAGCCTCTCCAGTTGGAATCTGATGGATTGCTTTCCCCGCGTGATGCGCTTTAGGGACCATTTCCAATTTAGCTTCCTTGTGGATCATATCTTTCTTAAGTCCACTATCTCCGGGACTCCTGGTGTTGTCAGGGGATGCACTACTCTTCGATACAGTCAGTGATTCTGGCAAACATTTGTTGCCACTCACATTTTTTCTCCCCGCTCTGTGTTTTAACTGATCTACTTCCGATGTAGTCAGGTGATGCACTCCATTCTCCACCACTGCACTTCCAGAACATACCTCGTACACAACTTTGCTTCCATTATCAAACATCGCAACCCCTCTCTGATGAAATCCCTCAGTAGTCAAGGGAGCTGTGGAGAGGATCTTGGTTTCTCCTGTCAGTTTGTCCTTCTGTACATTGACCTCCATGGCATACATTGCTGGAATATCAAAAACATGTATATTAAAGGATCTGATAGTCTTACGTTGGAAAACCGATCAAGGATTACGCTCAAAGTTCTTTCAAAGCTAAAGGTAGAGTTTCCAGTTTGGGTTCAATCGACAATACAGGCACAAATTTCGTTTGAAGTTGCACTAGTTTTAAGCAGTTCCGCTTTCTTGATTTTCTGCTTGAACTTATTTGCATATTGCTAAACACAACCTCTGCAATAAACCAGTGCAATTGGACAGTGTTTTAGAACGTTATTTTAAAAAAAAAAGGTTCCTGCTTTAAAATATATTCCTTGACATGTGATGCTAAGGAAGTGATGCTCAGCCTGTACAAACCATTGGCCAGACCACATTTGGAGTGCTGTGTTCAGTTCTGGTCATCTCATTGAAGGAACGATGTTAAAGTCTTGGAGAGAGTACAGAAGAGATTGACTAGAATGATACCAGGAATGATGGATTTTATTTGCAAGGGAAGATTGGAGAAATTGAGCTTATTCTCCTTGGAGCAAAGAAGATGAAGAGGTGGCTTTATTGAGAAGTTCAAAATTATGAACAATTTTGATAGGATAAGGAATGATATTGGGGTCATAATTTCAAGATTGTCGGCAAGAGAACTAGGAGTGAGATGAGGAGAAACGTCTTTATCCAGACAGTTGCTAGGATTTGGAATGCACTGCCTTGGTGACTGTTGGAGGTATATTCCATAGGAGGTTTCAAAAAAAAGCTGGATATTTATTTAAAGTGGTAAAGTTAGAGGGATACAGTGATAGGGCTGGAGAATGGGGCTAGCTGGGTAGCTCTGTCAGGAGCTGGCACAGACATGATGGGCTAAATGGGTTTCTTCAGTCCTGTAAAATCCTGATTCTATGCTTAGGAATGGTGACCTAGTGAAATTTGATTAATACGATTGAAAATTATCCCAAATAATAAGCATTTGGATCAGTGTCTAGTGAGTAAACTAGTATTAAGTAACTGAAATAATTTTTAAGAAAAAACTGTACAAAACAATTTAATCATTCTTTTCTCATGCACAAAAGCCATCTCTTTCGTAAATTGGAAGGAAGAGTCTTATTCAAAACCTTTTAAATCACTCCTGCCAACATCCTTGCACAAGAAAGAACTAGCGCAATGTTTGGAGTTTGCTTCAGGGACTGCAAATACAAATGACATTCGAAAATTCACTATGGCGATTGATTTGATCTTGGGTCTGACTAATTTTTGTGGGTGGCGCTAGTTACCAGTGCAATACTTTTTAAATCATCAAATTAAATTGTGGGAATTGAGCTGGGCCGCACATAAAATCCTACAATTTTTGTGCATGTTCGAATGAATTTGGGTGAATTGCACAGGAAAGGAAATACAATGCAACCTGTGGAAAAACTCTAGGGCCAGATTTTTTGTTCCATACTGTTTTTCTTTGCTTTCTTAAAATTTCTACATAGTCTCATGGAAATTCTTAGTATAAATAGTGGCAAAGGATAATATGTTAAATGTAAGCTTTGACTACAATGAAAGCTCATTGAAGCACCTAGTGTTAACATTGGTAGAGGTGGACAATATCAAGTTAAAGATGTGCCATGAGAGTAATATTACAACTGAATTATATGTTTGATTTTGGCTGTTCTGATGATAACTTATCAAGATGAACTTTCTACTACAGTTACTCATCTTTGTGGCAATGTGTGTACTTTGGAATTGTAGACATTTGACAGTGTGAGGTATCTTTGCTGAGCAAGGTACTGGCTTTGTTCTGATATCTGTTCATTTCTTAATGGATCTGCAGGTTGCTCTCAGTGTGTCAACCCAACATTATTTTGCAACACCGAGATGTGCAGATGAAGGCACCAACCCTTCCACCTTTTTGGCTGATACCTGTGGAAACAAAGGAGAAGTGAGATGTACGGAGGGTATGAGAGGGAATTCTGAAGATTAGAGCCTGAGCAGCTGAAGGCACAGCCAGCAATGTGGAATGAATGAAATTCAGCTGGCATTAGAGGAACACAGATGTTTCAGAGGTTTGTAGGGCTGCAGGAGATTGCTGACTGAAGAGAATGTTAAGGATGAGACCCTGGAGGAATGATCTGAGTGTAAGATCAATGACCTATGAAGAAAGGTTAAAAGCAGCCTCTAGGGAAGGTATGTTGAATAATAGGTTTTAACACTAAAGATATAACAAATGTTGTAGTGTAGCATGTTATTGCATTTTAATCATAGACATCCTGGGCATTAGTTTTAAAGCATGTAAAAATCAAGATGTTGGAAGTACACATACGAGAAAGCATTTTTACATTGAGTCTATAATAGTACCTATGTCTGAGCCAGAAAGCCCAGGTTCAAGACTCACCTGCTCCAGAAATGTGCAAAAACATCTCTGAAAGGTTGGCTAGAAAACATCTACAGTAGAGAATCAGGTATTCCACCCAATTTATCAATGCTGACATTTATATTCAACACAAACCTCCCCCAGCCTTCTTTCTAAGTTAGTTGAGAATGAACTTCAAACAAAAATTGATAAATGCCTTGAATCATCCGATAAGGCTGGGAGAGAGGCAGCCTTTAAACAAAAGGAAGGTTGAACGTTAGGCTGAGATAGTTAGATTATCAAAGGGACAAGCTTCAGATGAATAGTGGTCTATTCAGTGCCCTATGTTGTTAAATATCAATAATTGTGAAAAGAACTCTGTCTTGTTTTCAATGTACGTTTTTCATGCACTTGTTTAAGGATTGCGACCAAATATAGAGAACCTAGAATGGTAGTAAGATACATTCGGGACACTTGCTCAGTACCAGAGTATTCTTTTAATTCAGGATAATTAAAACTCCAACATGCACTGGTATAAACTGTGAGTCAATGAGTAGTACTCTTGTTTTCGGATCAGGAGGTTGTCGGTTCATGTCCCACGTGATTATTTGAGTGCAGAAATCAAAGCTGACAGCCTCTCTGCTCCTATGATGCTGCTTGGCCTGCTGTGTTCATCCAGCCCTGCACCTTGT